CCTGTGCTTTTGTGAAACGATGCACATACAGTGCCAAAAGAATACATTGTATGTCCGGAAATAATGACGCTAGTACAAATTTCTAACCGAACACGGATAAACGATCAACAGACCAGACACAACTGCTGATAATTCACAAGTAAATTTTGATTTTTCGTAATTCGATAGAGTTGTACAGAAACCTTTCTACTTGCTCTTAAATACAGTCTCAGTCTCATATTCACCCGTTTTTATTAGCAACAGGAAAATCCTCATGTGATAGGTATAATCACCCACATGGACATTGGGTCTTTTCGCACTCTCTGGAACGTATCGATTCTAGTCGGCGTATTCCGGCTGGAAGCGAACACAATGAAACACGCAAAGAGCTCCGGGCAAAACTCCGTGCTAGCCTGATGGGAGATCGCGAATCCTGGTGGTCTTTTCGTGCATCAGAGATGGAAATGGCCGCTGCCGTTGGTAACCATTGTAAGTTATTACGGCTGATACGGGAAACGGGCAACAGGAGACCTGGTGTTAGTGAAACTATACGTGACAAGAGTGGACAGCCTATCCAAACGCTTGGAGCGTTGGGCTGAGCACTTTGAAAGGCAATTTAATCGGTTGGAATTGTTAGCTTTCTCGCCGGCCACTGATCGTCTCGCTCTCTGGTCTATCCCTTTGCATCCACCCTCTCGCTCAGAAGTCGAACGTGAGACCGCACTGTTGAAGTTACATAAAGCCGCGGGACCAGATGATCTACCTCCAGCCCTCTTCAAATTCGGGGGGGCCTGCTCTTGTGGATGATTTATACGAGTTACTAATGAAATTGTGTGAGCAGGAAGCTGTCCCAACTGATTGGAGCCGCTCCGTCATAGTCCCAATTTTCAAGGGAGGCTCACAATCGGAATGTGGCAACCATAGAGGAATCAGTCTGCTCTCCATCGCCTCCAACTTGCTTGTCTCTGTCCTCCTTCACAGACTGACTGGCACTTGTGAAAGCCATATTCGTGAAGAGCAAGCCGGGTTTCATCGACGTCGTGGTTGCATTGACCACATTTTCACTTTGCGCCAGTTGTCGGAGCACCTTCACACATATTGGCAGCCCCCCGTAGTCGTGTTCCTCGATATCATAGGTGCATTCGATTCGGTGGATAGACGTACACTTTGGGACTGTCTACTCGGGAAAGATGTACCTGAGAAATGTGTAAATATTATCCGACCATTATACGCGCGTAGCTCAAGCAGTGTAAGGGCTTACGACAAGCTGTCGTCGCCCTTTAATATTTCCAGCGGTGTGAGACAAGGACGCCAGCTGTCACCTTTTCTCTTCAACTTCGCTATTGACGAAATCATGAAATCGCATTCACAGGATACGACTTAGAAGATGTGGACTTGCTCCCAGGAAAACGACTTCTTGACTTAAAGTATATTGACGATATTGCCCTAATCTGTGATAGCTCCAAGACGTGCCAAGCCGCGCTGGACAGATTAGCACTGGCTGTCAGCCGCTTCGGGCTTTGCTTTGCACCATCGAAGTGCAAAGGGTTCCTCCAAGATTGGCCTGGACCGCCTCCTTCGCCGATCCTTGGTGGCGATCAGCTAGAAGTCGTTCAAAATTCAACTACCTGGAAAGTTGTATCAGCACCCTTGGGATTGAAGATGAGATCACGAACCGTATAGCAAACGCTCGAGGCGCTTTTGCAAACATTCGACACTTATGGCACCGGCGCGACATCACTCTCGCCCTGAAGAGTAGAGTGTACAATGCAGCGGTACGTTCGACCTTACTGTACGGTTGTGAAATCTGACCCCTTAGATCAGCGGACATAAAGACGCTAGTTACGTTCAACCACCGGTGGCTTCGCAATTTAGCTCACGTCTGGTGGAAACCACGTAAGCAACGAGCGTGTTCGACGCCTTGTTTACGGCACAGGAAAAGGAAATGAACCGCTCAGCACCGCTATTTCCCGCACCAGGCTCCGATGGCTCGGCCACGTGTTGCGCATGCCAGCCTACCGACACCCGCGACGTGCATTGTTTGCTTGCCGGGGGTGTGGATGGAAGAAGAGGCGAAGTGGCCAAGCGAAGACTTGGTCGAGAGGAATGAAGGCCCTCACTTCGAAGCTGGCCTCAGTTGGAGCGTCTCTGCTCCCTGGTTGGGGTCCGAAAAACCATGAACACGTTTGGCTAGATACACTTGTTGATATGGCTAAGAGCTGACCTCAGTGGCGTTCGTGCTGTGAGTTTATTTGTCCCACCCCATCGTTTTTAACCTCTCCCTCTAACCACAGTCTCCTTGTCTAGCATTTTATAATTTTGCGTAGGAAATTACTTTTTTGCTGCATAGTAGCCTGCTGGTAGCTTGCTGGAACGATGCCCATCCATTACCGGTAGCGTAGACCGCAATAACAAATAGGCAGTTATTGATCCTACGCGACTCCGACGTATGGACAAGCTAGTCCATCTGACGCTGTATATACGGTTCTCGGCCAGTGGCCGAAAAGGCCACAGGCTTGTCTTGTAATCCGGAGGTCCCTAGTTCGAATCCGCAGATGCGAGTAACCACGCGGCATACCCAACCCATGCGCAACCGGTGGTGGTCCCGTAGCATCGAAGCGTCAGTACAATGCACCGGCATATTGCTGACACTTGTCGCACATACGATTGCCGATCGGAATCCAGCAGATCATAGCAACCTTAGGCCGGGTGCCCAGAACAATGTGCACAACGGCCAGACTAGCAATTGAGCCTGCCTTATCTCCGGATACACGTAGTGAGAAAGTGCCACCATCGTCACACGAATGATATCTTAGATGGAGCACAGAGCCGAATCCTTGTAGACGGCCTTCCGATAAGTAGCAGTTATCGCTCGGTAGAATGTTTAATGTTCGGCAAAGTGTTGCTTTCTGACAGATCTTCAACAAAGGGTGCACCTTGAGGAATGCTACCCGTAGTTAGGATCGAAAGCTCTGCTTGGTTGGACATGAAACTTGTCGACAGGGCGGGAGCGACCCTGCGATTGCATGTGATTAGAAACCAGAAGACAACCATGATGGGGACGGCCATGATTTGGGGGATGAAAAGGCGAACAATGGAAGGGCGATCTGAATAAACGAGCGATAGTGGGGAAATAAAAGGCGCCAACCTGAACATCAACGCCCTTTCCATGGCGCTTAGGGCAGCGACTAAGGTGCCATTGAGTATCCTCTGCTACGACCATGGTACACCGCAAAATTGACTAAGTTTTCATCGTATTTCATGAGCTGGATACTGTCAGGTTGCCCATGCGTAGACAGCGGAACGAGCTTTCAATCAAAGCCTTTGTCACGACTGTTTCTTCGTGCCTAATGAACTAGCCTAAAATCTACGGAAAGCTGTTGCAAACTTCGCAACAAAAGATGGTGTTTATCAAGAGGCATTTATGGGTTTATGTCCGGCTGTCATTTTAACTGATCCAGTAAGAGGAAATTGGTCAACTGGCTGGTTGGCATTTTCGTTATTGCCTATGTTGGTGATAGATGTTGTGTTACTAGTCCGATGTCAGCCTCCAACGATCATCAAACCGACCGCAGTGAAGATTTTTGCTGAACACTCGATAGGCCTACTCCCATCTATTCGATTCACGCAGTTGTTAGTTTCGGTAGTCACCTCAGCAACTGCGAGGATTTATTTAGTCTATTGCTTTGTTAGACCACTCGTTATCGGACAATTCCTGCTTAACACATCTTCAATTTGTTAACGCACATAGGTTTTCCTTTGGATGAGTGCGCTCGTGTTTCACTCGTACAGGTCTCAAAGTATCTGTATTTTACGGCAACTTTATGTTACACGTCGAATAGACCGATGCTCAGAGTCACTGGCGGATCCGGACAGCTTGTGCTCGGTCACCAGTCCACGTGTGCGGACCCTCCGTATGTGATGTCTTGCCTCGCTAACTGCCTGTTTGTGCAATCTCGCGTCCAATTACCTGCACAACGGTCGGCTGCCACATTTGACCTTAACAATGACAGCAACGCGACCTGCGCATTGTATTTGGTCACACTGCACATGTGAGTGAATACTCGACACGGTCCGAATATCTTCCGCGAAGGTTGACTGTTCATTCTGCTACCAGTTGGATGTTAGCGTGGAATGCTTTTTTTCACGCTTTGGGATATCCCTCCAGAGCAACCCCTTATTCGCTCTAGTTGTGCTTGGCTAAATTAAGTCGCTAGATGCGCAATGTCGTGACTTTGGCACTACCTGCTTATGCTTACTCTGTTGAAATGAGCAAGGACTCAGTTAACTTTCCCCACCTTGCTCTGAAAGTCAACGGTTTGTGAATCCAGGCCCATTTAGACCCGTCCCCATTGTAACAAGGTCAAGGTTGAGCGGGACTTAAAATCACTTAACCGAGTACAGCAAGGTTCTCACGAGAAACTGCCACCACAAGCGAGGATGTACTTATTGCCACTGTCACGCTGCGTTTATCCTTCTTCGCGTCGCTTCGCTTCTATTGTCACATGCCCGTGGAATCAAACACTTGAAGACCGCGTCCTGAGTAGACGGCCCTGAAGGCACATCGACCAACTGTTGACCATTAGCAAATAGTTACTAACAGGAGTAGATCATCCAGTGTTGTGGGCACAAATACAGCTGAGGAATTCGCTTAAGTTGTCTTGGTCCTGATTGCGCAGTATTCGCCAATTACCGCCGGAACTTTTTTGCGTTGCTAGGAATTCTGACCGTATCCGTTTTTCATGCATTTATTTTTGCGACTTTGCAAGGCAATCAAAATGTTCACATACCGCAACTTGCATTTTCTCTCCGTTGATGAAATGCCTGTGTCAGACTAACTATTTGTTTCAACCGAACGCATTGCTCGTCTAGCAATACACACTAACTGCTGGACCTCGAATATTGTCTGTACAAGTGTCCTGCAACGCTCTACTCAAGTTTGCCCTGTTCGAAAATTCCTCCATTTTTCGATCCATCACTTTCGCAACTTCACTCCTTTCTGACATCTGGTTACATTGTAGATGCATGCACTCTGGTCGCTGCGGCCTTGTCGGAATCTTGCATATCCCACGATTCTAAATCACGTGACGCAGGCAATGTATCGAACAGCCGGGTTGCTGTTAACCCTTCTTTCCTATTCAAGGCCCGCTCCAAAATACCGGAAAATCACAACGACCAGATTCGCTTGCTAGCGGTAAGCCAGAGACCCATGTTTCTTCCCATTCTTGATGTGTCGCTTTGTGTTTCATGAAAACGACCATCTTCCATTTCTCCAGATTTAGCTTATGCTCTTAGCAGTGTCTGTCTCTCACTCAGGCAAAAGCTCCGCATTGAGCGCGATATTGCGGAGGAATAACGCTAAGGATTTCCTGCTTCCAATGTACGTGGCCCTGTTGTCGTAGATAATCATAAGGCTGTCGCGTAACACACAAACCACTTTGTACTTTCGCGTCGTAATCTGACTACGCCTCGGACACCAATAACAATTAGCATTTAGCAGTTTTCGATTTCCACATTATGAGACTTATTCGTCACAAATCTATCTGAATCGTGTTTCCTCAACCATGACTGCATAACACTCACATTTTTATCTGCAAGACGAGAAGCAGCGCTCTGTTTTTTTTTAACTGTGTGAAGTTTTGTGGCGTACTTTGATTATTTTTGGCATTTTGTTACCAGTTGGGTCACCTAGCTCAATAAATTAACCCGTAGGTGTTCACCTATACTACTGTAAGATGGTGCCACAAAACGAAACAATATGTATTTTCATCGCTTCCGTTTATGCCTCCACTGACTGCACTTCCGATGATATGAATGGAGATTACAGTCATGAAGTCTCATCTTTTCCCCTAGTGTGGAAAATCCCTAACATCGTGATTGTCGCTGCTGACATGAATGCCCAAAGGGGTTACCATTTGGACTCTGAACGACACGTGGGACCGTTTCGAAGTCCATGCACACCGAACAGAATGGCGATCGGTTCCTGCAACTGCATGTTGACTGTGACCTTTATATTAACAGCGGTGCATTTCAGTACAAACGCTCATGTAGAGTCACCTGGCGCCTACCGAATTCCTCCATTTGATGCGCATGTCTTTATTCCGATCATGTCCCTGTGTGCGCACGCATGGTGCTTCTCTTCCCGGTACGAAGAAGCACCAGATCTTAAAGCTTTTTACTCATCATATAAACTCGCAGTCTGAAATTCAATGATATGACGAAATGGTCCACCAGTTGTTAGTGGTGAATGAGGTTGGTAGGCCGAGCACTCACTCCATGGGGTCTTCTGTAATGGGCCATGAAGAAGGCTTTTGCTGCTTTTTGTATGCCCAGTTTGAGGCGTCCGAGCTGTGAATGGATGTCTGAGGCATCGATCGGAAACAGATTTTGCTGGGTTCTGCATTCCAGCATGTCTGTAACGCCCTGAAACGACAACTGATAAGGAGTCTTCGAGTCGACTGTGGCCGCTGGTGGGTGACATTGGATCGTAAGACAGAGAAAGTCAGTGATATTTGGGAAAGCCGTGTGCTGTTCCAATTCATTCGGAATACGGGTCCAAACACACCTTCAGTTCTTGAAACAATGGCTGTGAAAGATGAAACCTTGATCTATTCTCTTTCTCCTTTGGACGGAACATTTTGAAGAACAATTCTGCAGGCTTTCTGTGATCTTGTCACTTGATGAATCACCTCCGACGTAGAAATTTGATGTCACACCCAATTTGGTGGAGTTTCGACATGTGTTTTTCTTGTCGAAATGAACCGTAGCCCCGTGCCCTGCGACCTTCCTCCGTCTTTGCTAAAAATAGAAGTAACCCTTTTTGACTGAACTTGACGATCTATTCAACACGATTTAGGACAATGAAGAGGTGCCTTCATACTATCGACTGTCATCTGTCATGCTCATTTTTGAAAGGAATCAATGGGCTTCGTGCCAAAATCATCAAGGCATTAGCCTTATTTCTATTGTCTCCAAACTCCTCACGGGTATCATTCTTCGACGACTTACTGACTCTCATGAGAGCCGACTCATTGAAAGCAAAGTTAGCTTTCGCCCCGCTCGCGGTTGCGTCGACCAGAGTTACATTTTTTCAAGACTTAGCTCTGAAACACCTAAGGATGACCGACTGTTGGTCTTACCAGATTGTGGCACCGTCTATCCCTGAAAGGCGTGTCAGGGAATCTGCTTTTCATTCTGACGTCTCTTTTACCGAGACTGCTGAGGCAATGTAAGGATCCACGGGACCTGGTTTTCTGAGTTCTGCACAACAAGTAGGGTTCACCAGAGTTGTTCTTATTTTCTTTCATTTGGCGCTTCCTGCTATGGTTGACTTGGACCATCCACTTCCCGCCTCCAGTAACGACATCGTTCAGTCATCGACGATTGCGTCCTCGGGTGAGCAATGAAAATGCGATGGCAGAACGGTTCGAAAGCTGCTAATTAGCTGATTCGTGTAGTAAAAGTTGTCCGAGCTTTAGGACTATTCCGAATTGGAGCAGATGCGATAAGCGGTAGTACTTGGAAGATCGAGGTGTGACGCTACTTCGTGCATACTTAGTTTCCGATCCTCTTTTAGGACGTCCTGAATGTTGCTGCCAATGTCCACTGGCTTGCGTTCTTGACCTTCCATATTGGACAGTTCCTAGTTCCCTACTTTGGATCGACGAAACCAACATTTCACCATCCCGTAACTTGGCGAATCCGTGCCCTGTACGCCACCCATCTTTCGACAGACCTCGACCGTTTTGCGTCCTTGTAGGAACTCGTACAACAAGCATCCGCGAACAGCATGATAACCACTTACCATATCGCAGCCAACGCTAAATAGTAGGGTAAATGCACAATGTAAGATTATTGTTCCAGGGTGTTCCCTTACTTACCCGTACAAAATAAGCCTCGAGAAGCTTCCCGGAAATTCTGAAGTGTCATCACAAAAAGTCAACTGATTTTGGACCAAACTGATATATATATATATATATATATATATATGTTTTAGTCGATGCATTATCTTAATTTCATTCGTGTCCATAAATGAATGTCCTCTACTGTTTCGTGTCTTTTAGACTGATTTCCCATAACTCTAATGCGTTACCCATCTGAGTTTGTACGGTCGTTAAAATTCATTAGTTGACCACATCTTATCGGTCTCTGTGCTTTATGGCCATTTGATCATTCATTCACACAATGTCTATGTCGTACATGTACGCGTGTAGGCCGTCTTTAGTCTGTGTATGCTTTTCAGACTCAGCCCTGTTTAATCGCCGGAACCCCACCAACCCAGTTGTTGCACTATGCTTACCATAGCTAGCCTTTACCTTAATGCGATCTAGAAAGTCACAAACAAATGTTATTCCTTTGGGAACACAAACAGTCTGACTTCCATACCAAAGCCACTTTTTGCTATCGGAAAACGTTTTTTCACTAGACCATGCGACCTTGGTTACAAGAGGCGATTTCTTCCACCCGCCTTTTGGAGTCCAACTACACTGTCGATGGCCCATTGACGTGGAAGGCTTTTCATCAACTTGCTGGTCGTGGTTCGGAGGAAACGTGTAAGCCTCAACCGGTGCCTCAGCTACGCGTCGGCAGCTCGGACAATGAGCATCTTCTCATCTCTCCTTTTGCCCTCCGTGATTGGGTGAGTTGAAGTCTCGCACTCATCTATGCTTTTGATTTTTGTGTGTCCTGGCGTTGTCTAGATTTTTTTCTTCTTTAATTTCACTACCTTTTCAGCTTTCATGCGACACATTGGTCCCTCCTCCATTTGCCTGGAACGTGTTTGCGTTTTTGTCAAAGCAACGAACCACGCATCTTTCCTACGTCTTTTGCATGCCAACGGTGTTTTGGGTTAATTCACTTTTCACCAGATACATCTTGTCGGTGTTTCTTATATTTTTTACGATCTTACATTTCTAATGTTTTCCAAATTGTCTCTTCCGCAGCCAATGTGGGGACGTGTTGCTCTCCGTTTTGGGTTGTTATCGATTTACTCAGGTTAATAAGGCCTCATTATTTTATGCGCATATCAGCGTTCAATGTATCAGTGCTACACCGGTTCGAAGTGTTTTCCCAGAAAGAATTCGGCATGGACTATAATCACATTTGTTATCGCGTGGTACCAGCTCTTCGTTTTTACCTCCAGCATACTGAAATATCACTGTAGTTATCTGTTAATCCTATCTTCTGGACTCATTGGATCGTTCTGAGTACCATGAGATGTCTATTCATGGTTGCCTTCCTGCTTTCACTTTTCATTCAGAACCAGTGATACGAATTGCATCTTTTGCAAACTAGATATCACATTATCTTCTTCACTAATTCACTGGTTTGTTCGAAGTTACCTTCTGTTGTGGTACTGAATTGTGGCATAGTCCCAATCTGGGCTGCGACTCATTTCAAAGGGAACTTCTGGTCAATTCGGTCACTGGGATCGCACCGAAAACTGATGAGGGTTGGGCTGTTGTTCGCTCGCTCGCCGCGACACTACACTCCATCGCCAGCTACGCATGTATTTGCATTCACCAAGTGGACGTAGGAACACGAAGACTTGAACTCCGAAGGTTGTAGACTTTGCCGCTTGTCACTGATGCTCTCCTCCGTCTACACCACCGAGCAATCACTTCTCTTGGGTTCATTTTAAAGTGCCCGTTGTGTATGTGCGAACTGCGATTAACGCGGCGGTGCAGCTCAATCACTACGTAGCCCGCGAACTCCGATTGTGTAGTGTTACAGACACGTGCCCGAAGCCTCCACTCCCGGGTTCTGCACTACCTGAAGAGTACAATCAAGGATGAAATCGGTGTTGGAATGCAGCTTGTCAAGAGCTCTGCAGACATCTAACATTTGTTTCGATTCATTATCCGAGTATTGTCTCATGTTTGCTCCTTTAAATCACCTGTTTTCACAATTATTCTTCCTATGACAGTCGTCGATCCGTGCTGTCCGTTTTTCACACCTTCACTATGATTGCGAATACAGGGGATCTTCTTAGCGAATATAACATCATTTTCTCGCGTGAACGTGTGTGGCACTGCCAATATTAATATAGGATAAGTTTTATTACGTTTATCGGTCGAGTGAGCGTGGCGGTAATTTCGTCGTAACTTCATCCTTTCTTATCGTATCTTTCTCACAGGATCGGCTAGCTTTATCTCCTCTGTCGCTTGCAAAACACTTGGCTTACGCAGTTGTAATTCCTGGGGATCCTCATGAACTTGCCTGCACCATCAATCCAGCTTCTAATGCGTCAACGGTGAAGCAAGAACAGAACGAGTCAAAACATTACTTGCTCAGCCGTCATAACCAGGAGGCAACTTCATGCCGGTCGTTCGTCCCAGGTGACAAGCACACTATCCCGTCGGCTCTCGTTGGCTTTCTCAAAGAATTATCGCTTACTTACGAGAACTTCCGTCTTGGTCGTCATCTTCCGTACTACTTGCCGGAGTTAAATCGGCCGGAAACAGCGTTCATCACAGTTCACCCCTTGGAAGGTATCTGCAGCTTTCATTATTCCTCATAGCTTAATGTTTCAATTTGTCATAATTTGATTGAGATTGCGGATGTCTTTTCATGAGATGCTCCTTTGTCCTACTGCGAAGTTACCTTGTCCGTTCGTCGTTTAATCTGAAACTCAACACTCTTGTTTTACTCGAATCCTACTATTTCGGAATGTCGCGCATCTTTTAAATAAACTTAACGGTCATCGAGCAACAACATGATGCCAATAGGCTTATTAGGCTCTTATCTCTGCTTGGCGCATGTTGTCTTACCAGATGACCATCATGCGAAAAATTACCTTAATTCGCACTACTCCCATCTGATCTGACTCAGTCTGGCAGTCTCTGAGCGCATAGACACCAGCCAACTGGCGAAGCAAGCTGTTCTGAATACGTATCGAAGTACGCTGACTTGCGCGTTGCGTAAGCGCTCAATGAATATAATTAAAGGCCACTGGTCACATGTTCACAATGTTGCAGCAGCCAACTCCTCGTGCGGTAGGTCTAATAGCCAACATGAACATTGGGTCTCTTCATAATCTCTGGAACTTGTTGATGCTCGCCAACACATTCCGGCTGAAAGCGAACACATTGAGACTCTCAAAAGACTGAGGACAAAACTCCGTTTTAGCCTGATGAGGGACCGCGAATCTTGGTGGTCTCATCGTGCGTCAGAGGTGGAAGTGGCCGCTGCCCATGGTAACCGTCGGAAATTATTCCGTCTGCTACGGGAAACGGGCAGCAGAAGACCTGGTGTTAGTGCAGCTAAACGTAACGACAGTGGGCAGCCTATCCACAACTTGTCAAAACGCTTGGAGCGTTGGGCAGAGCACTTTGAAAGGCTTTTTATTCGATCGGAATTGTCAGATTTCTCGCCAACCACTGATCGCCCTGCTCCGTTGACTGTCCCTTTGGATCCACCCTCTCGCTCAGAAGTCGAACATGAGATCGGACTGTTGAAATTAAATAAAACCGCGGAACCAGATGACCTTTTCTAGCCCGCTTCAAATTCGGGGGCCCTGCTCTTGGTGCTGATTTGCACGAATTACTAGTGCAACTGTGGGAGCAGGGAACTGTCCCAACAGACTGGAGTCACTCCGTCATAGTACCAATTTTCAAAAGAGGCTCGCGATCTAAATACGGAATCAGTCTGATCTTCACCGCTTCAAAATTGTTTGCCTCTGTCATTATTCACTGACTGGCACTCGTGAAAGCCAGATTCGTGAAGTGTAAGTCGGGTTCCGTCGAGGTCGTGGCTTTGTCGATCACGACTTCACTTTGCGTTAATTGTTGGAGCACTTACACATATATTGGTGGCCCACCGTTGTCGTGTTCCTCGACATCAAAGGTACCTTCGATTCGGTGGATATACGTGCACTTTGGGACTGTCTACTCAGGAAAGGTCTACCTGAGAAATATGTAAACATTATCCGATCATTATACGCATGTAGTTCAGGCAGAGTGAGGACTTATAGCAAGCCGTCGCCGCACTTTGATATGTCCAATGGCGTGAGACAACGATGCCAGCCGTCACCTTTCCTCTTCAGCTTCGCCATTGACGAGCTCATAGAGATCGTGTTCACAGGACACGACTTAGAGGGTGTGGAGCTGCTTCCAGTCCAACGTCTTCCTCCACATGCTTGGAAAGCCTTTTGGGCATCATCAATGGTGCGCATCCATCGGATCCATCGGGATTCGAACCCATGACCACCAACGGCTTGCAGCGCCAGTCAACAGCTTATGCCATTCGGCCACGGGAGACAACTTCGGACCATCGTGATTTACAAGGTAACTGCGATATAGCGCGTCTTATCCTCCACTGCCATGCAAGCTACGAACGTCGCATCAGATAGGGAAGGCCCTCCTTTAATCCTGTTTGTGTGTTTTAGAAGTCACTCAACAGCTGTTTCTTGCATCCCAAATGGAAGGACGTTGTTGTCTGTCCGATGTTCAAGTGTGGATATAAAGACCTAACGGCTAATTACATGCCTGTCATCTTGACTAGCGGGGTGGTTAAATTACTTGAAAAATTATCAAGAGGTTCGATGTATAATGATAATCATTCATGATATGTCTGGCAGTCTGTCGTGGAAACCTCACGGCTTCATAAAGCCTTTTCTTTAACTCCAGTTCTGTCATACTGTTACCGTGCGATGATTACACCGTGCGCTGTTACTGAGAATATTACCTAATGCTAACGAGCTTGTCTTGTAATCTGACTGCGCTGGCTCGAGTCCGATTAGGGACCGGGAAACCCTCGCAGTATTCTCAGCCCGCGTGCGACCGGTGGTAATTGCGCGGCAGCGAAGCGTTGGTACCGCCTACTACTGGTGCCTTTCTTTCCGTCCTTTCCTGCAGACACTGTTGCCTGGTTATCGATTGTGCTGTCGTTATCGAGTGCCAATTATGTCACCTTCAGAAGGAGACTGTCAGCGTTATAAGTATAAAGGTGCAAAAAGTTGTGAAAGCGATTCACGATATATATATATATATATATATATATATATATATATATAGAGAGAGAGAGAGAGAGAGAGAGAGAGAGAGAGAGGTGGTTGACGGCATCCGTTTGCGGATTTGCATTTCACTGCTGCCTCCATAGGACAGCCACATGACTCCTGCGCCTACAGAGGGACCATGGGTGGCTTGCGCTGCACCACCCACAGCTCCAATTAGACCCCTTATATCCGGTGTAAATCCGGAGGAATAAGACCGAGAGGCATGTGGATGGGAACCACGTTTCATCGACGGAGCCGGCCGACCTTCCTTCAACAAGCAGAGCACGCATTCATTCTTATTTGGGGATTTATGTGTCAGACGTACCTAATGCGGTGCCTAGGCCGGAACCCGCTCCATGCTGGACAGCTGGAACCACTCCGTGAGTCTAGCATGGTCATCAGGACCGTGAGCCCCCAGTCCCAAGCAAGGACTAACTGTGTCCTTGAATCAATATAATCGAGATGGCTGTTTTTTGAACAAGTTGACACCTTGACAACGTTCACACTGAGCGCAACCACATCGGGGATTTCAAACAACTAACACATGATTTAAGAAAACACAGACTGGACCTTAACGTAGTGCGACCTTTTGAGTACCCATAGAGCTAAACTGAGTAATGCACCCGATCCACTTGGGACTTACTCCTATCAGGTTGTTCAATGGTTAGAGGTCTGATAGACTCAGTCTTCTGGTCCTCCAAATTGTGGGTTGGAAGTAAGATGGCGTCCAATTCTGTAAAACCGTATGGTTACCACATCCGCTGCCTTGCACATGGGATTTTTAGCCTGACTGAGGATACTTGTAGCTCCGGGTGTGAATGAGTATGTTGGGTTGTTCTCTGCCCTGTGTTTTGGATACAGACCTTTGGTCGCAGGGATAGGCACCATCGTCAGCGCAAGTTTCAAAGAAGTGAATTACAAATGCCTTAACCAGTATCCCTCAGGAAAATTACTAAGCCTGGAGTTGTAATGCTGTTTTTGTCTGGCTTGGCGACAAAAGTTTGCAGCCAAAACACGCATTTAGGTGGACAATCTATTACACCTTCCACCGTGTTTGCGATGCATTAAAGTTGAAACCTGCAATATTTATCGGCGTCGTGAATTGTTTCATGATTGCAGCCTCACGGTATGGAATGTCTCCACTACTCAATTTACTCTGCGTTATCTGAGTTTGTCCTCATCCTCGTTCTCACTTGCGTTGCTCATCGATAAAGTGTCCCCGCTTTGTTTGTTTACTCCACAGACTTTCCTCTAGTCCATATTGTTAGTTGGTGCATACGGTCGATATGTCGATTATTGTCATTCACTTCTTTTCCGTTCTCGCACTCTTTGCCGCATTCTGCCACTCGTGCTTACTCGCGTGTTCTAAAGATCGTCTCGTTGTATGCAGTGCCGCTGCATCCGAGTGCATACGCATGCGCTTATGTGTGTGTGTGGTCACATTCACATTAATGGTTTTAACGAATCAATTAGTTAGCTTCTGTTGTTCTTCTCAACTCCAGAGCATGTTCCGTCACGCGGCTGGTTCGTTACCACTGGCTGGCTGACTGACTGACCCTACTTCTGCTATCAATCACAGTTTTTCACTGAACACCGTCACAATTTATACGCACGCCGTAGCTATTATTTTCTCAACTACCTACGCTCACTGCAAGAACGTCCCATCGCGGGACTTATGACCCGTGTATTCTTCTACCTCTGTCTCGGTCACTCTTTTCACCCATTTCCAAAGAAAGTGTAATCTCCTTTTTATGCTCTGGTGGTCATCTACCGAGCACGTGCTTTATTTAACTCAATTAGCGGCACGTGACTGTCGCCTTGTGCTATCGTCAAGCTTCCTCGTCCGTTCTCGAAACATTTATGTCACTTATGCAGCTTGCGTTCAGTTGTCCAGTCTGTTTGATTGGTGGAGCTGTTGTGACCGTCACGATTTTTGCGCCTCTGAATTAGACACTTAACAACCCGTTCCGTTCAGTATTTCTTATTTATTTTCATTTTTACATCTCTGATGGATCTGTTTCCGAATTATCTTGTATTGTCGGATTGTCTGGGTGTTATGTGCAATTTCATAACGTTATTTTCCAGATAAGCTTGCCACTCCGGAAGAGGACAACTTCGGCTGTTTTTCGCCAGATTCTTACCGGGCTCTTGTCCACATGCTGGAGGGCCATTGCACTTCCCCCGCAGCGTTTCTCAACTGCCTTCAGTCCTACGTTTCATCAGCTTGTCGTCAGACTATTTCACTGTTTATTGAGCGTGGTGTGTCGATTCCTGTCCCCATCACACGTGGTGGTAAATGCACCACATCCAATGACGTTGGTACCAAACTGTTCCCAAAGTTTGGTTTTCAGCGACTGGCTAACTCCTTCAAGCGTGATCACGATAAAGAAAATGATCCAAAAATCCAGGCCCGTCAGACGCAGGGTCGAGACGGCAAAATTCTCGGCCATTCGAGCACCGATCCACACAATGGCCAGGGCCCATTGACCTCTTCGATGGACACCTCGCATTGGGGCACGGCGGAGGATGCCTATTTGGTCGTCTACCTACTCAACCCTTTCTTTCAAGTACGTGGTGTGCACTGTGCTCTTCATCGATGGATTGTCTTCTACCTGTCCGATTGCATATTTAATATGCCCTCCGGTGATTCTCTGTCATTTTGCTTCGTTTCATTCTCATTTGGCGCCGTTTTGTCTCATCACTATTCTCCGATGCATTTCGGTTATGCCCTTCCTTGCACCCCGTAATGTCGTTGTCGCCATTCTGCGACTTCCATCTGACTGCTTTGCTTCATTTTACTCTCTTGCAGAGGTCGCGTACTTTATCGGTTTCTTATCTTCACTGATACAGCTGTTACGCTTACACATCCTCATTGGCCATTTGAGTCCCCAATGTTTGTCGGCTAATCTCAGTTTTTTTTCACCCAACCTTCATTGTTTTACTTCGGTTGCCTGTTGATGCCATATATCACCTGCCCATTGTCAAGGTAGCATCGTCTCACCACACCTCTACCATGTTTCTGGATAACTTATCTACTCTACACTGGCAATCCCATACGCTGATCCGTTTCGTGCTTCACTAAACGTTTCGTTTAAAATTGAACCATGCATCTTATCATTCCCGATATTCGTCTGCAACAATGCACCACGAAACTCCGCAGGCCACACCAATTAGGGACTCGTTTTGCGTTTGGGTCTGCCTGTTATGCATTTTTGACTACAGCACCATCCAGATTTGGAAGTGATTCAGTCACTTCGCGATCGCTTGGACTATGTCTGAGATGGAAGCTTGTTACGCTTGCGGCGTTCAGTGGCTCAGCATCAAAGGCGACGACTACCAGCTACTTCTGGTTTCGATACATCAGTTTTTATCATTTTGTTTCCATCCGCGTCTGTGCTATTTTGTACTTTTTAGGTTTGCCGCAATTTGGCCCCAAAACACTCGTCAGATATCCACTTGTTTTGATGTTTGTGACAGCTTCAAACCACACTCATCACACCTGAACTTACTCATATACTCACCATGCGCAAAACACTGCACAGCTGTTTCATCCTTTCTGGACACTTCAGCAGCGTGACCTAGATCTGCCTGAAGTGGAGAAGAAATAATTTTCTATCTGTGTGACTGCAATGGAAGTCCTTGAATTGAAACCAACCTCATTAGGCAACTCATAGTAGATCTTTAACTACAATCTTATGCATTTGTTCGCCGTAAGTCTCCGCAACCGCTTCACACTTATATGGTGATCAGTCTGAGGTAATCTAAAGGGCCGTCTGTCTGTTGTCATATCAATGTTAGATCATCATCATCATTATACATGTCAGCTAGAGGTGGTGAAACACCTCCGCTATTGTACCGCAATACATAAAGGAAATACATACATACATACAATACATAAAGGAAAAATAAATACGACAGTTGCATGCCAGCTCAGCTACCAGCAACGGATAGGCATCGTTACGGTAAGCTATCAGCCAGCTACTAGGCAAAGAATTTTATTATGTTTTACGCTACGAAATGAGATCGTAGATGGAAGGGGTGGCTAAAAGGGATGATGAGGGACAAAGAAACTCACAGCAGGAACGCCACTGAGGTCGGTTCCCAGCCATATCAGCAAGTGTATCCAGCCCAACGTGTTCACCGTCTTTTAGACCTCAACCAGGGAGCCGTGACGCTTCAACCGAGGCTAGCTCAGAAGTGAGGGACTTCATTCCTCTGGACCAAGTCATCGCTTGGCCACCTCTCCTCTTCTTCCACCCACATCCCCGGTGAGCAAACAACACACGTCGCGGAAGTCGCTGGGCTGGCATGATCAATGTTAGATGCTGTTCTGCAGACCCACTTCTGCATGATCATCAGTTCCTTGACTCGTGGGACAATGGGGGATGCTCCACGCTGTCAACGTTTGCATGCTATGCACGTTACAATTACGGCTCATTAGAAGATCTAGACATCCAGTCGCAAGTGAATTGAATGGATTTTGTCACTGGACGTACCACCGCTGATTATCCTTAGTTAATCAGTCGGCTCGTCGTCTTTTGGACTCTAGTCCCAAGTGGAAATCCTGGTGGCTTACCAGGTCCGATTGACTTTGGCACTCGCAGCCGCATGTGCTGCAGCACCATGAGCTTGACGTCGATGGGGTAGCCTCCATTGGCACCTGTCGCTACCGTACACGGTGCTTCTCTTCCGCATGTTGCAGTGCTTTCCGCTGCACTCCGGCAACCGCCCTCTTGATCAGCTCATGCCATTCGCGACCATCGACTGCCTTTGATTCTCAGCACTTGAAATCAACATTACTTCGTGATAAACTCACCTTGATCATGTCATGGTAACGTTGCTGGCCTTACAAAAGCTGTTTGCGTGTCCTTATCGAATTCATTCGGCTAACATACCCCAGCCACCTTAGGCTTCGCAGCGGAAGTACGCAGTCCACTGCATACATGCCACTGCGGCGCACTTCCGTGGCTGCAACCAATGTGTCGAATCCGCGCAGACACTGTTGATTAAATCGCTCCAAATATCTGACGTTCTTCCGGCACATCTTCCAGGTTTCGCTGCCGTATAGAGGAACGGACAGCACCATAGACTTCTATACCAGAAGCTTCGTTCAACAGTAAGCTTGTGGTTGTTCTACACAGGTTTCTCCAGGTTGCCAAACACAGCAGGCATCTTCGATCCGCGGATGCGCAGCTCGCTCGTCATCTGCAGGTCTGTTGCCATTACGCTTCCAACGTAGAAACTTTTCCGTCCTGTTTCCGACACGTCATCCGCGACCTGGATTTAGGGCAGACCCACGGACTCCATTCCTGGTAAAGACTGTAAAAGAAACAGTTTTGCTTCTGTTGATGATGGATCTGAATTTGACCACTGTCGAAGCGAGAGCCGAAGTCATGTGCTTCAGGTCATCTGCGCTGTGGGCAAATAACGCACAGTCGTCGGCAAACAGCAACATACGGATGGTTTTCTCACACACTAGGGTTCTTGCCCCAAAACGACGGATGTTCAGCAAGACATCATTGCATAAAGGTGAGTGTTAAACAGAGCAAGAGCTTAGACACAGCCTCGCTTCACCCCAGAGACCACAGCACAGCCATCCGAGGTTTGTCCACTCAGCTGCACCCTCACCCACATACCACTGGGTAGACATCCAAACTTACTCGGACAACCAAACTTACCAGCCAGAGTTCCTCGCGGTTCACCGTATTAAATGCTTGGTGAAGTCTATAAACAGCGAGTACAATGCTTGGTATCGTTCTCTGTATTTCTCCTGCAGCTGACGAGCCGCGAACACCATATCTATTGTATTAAAGCCCGAACGGAACCCCTATTGCTCTTCCGCCACGTTCAGTTCAACGACCTGACTGACGAGGCGTTTAAGCAGGATTTACGCTCTCACCTAGTCCACACAACTCAGCAAGTTGATGCCACGATAATTCGGACATCCTTGCTTGTTCCCTTTGCCGTTGTACAGTGGCAGCATAATGACGTTCTTCAGCTCAGGAGGCATCACCTCCACAATCCACACGCGTTACATCAACTGGTGCAGCGCATTTCCCAACGCGGACTTGCCGTGTTTCAATACTTCTGAAGGAATCCCGTCGGCACCAGCGCAATTGCCGTCTCGCAACCGAACACGTGCTTTCTGCGTCTCATCCAGTGTCGGTGTGCCTGCAAGACACATCTTTACCTCTTGTCGTTGCAGCCCATGCAACGTAGGTCAGTCCACCTCTGAACGGTTGCTCAAAAGACAATCGAAGTACGTTCGTCAGATCTGCATTATTCCTGCAGTTTGTGTGCAGGCAGGTCCTTAAGTAATATCTACCAACGTCTTCACTGGCTGTAAAGTAAGCCCATCCATCGCGACGAGCCTGAACCTTAACGTGGTGTGGTGATTTGTGTGCCTCAGTGATCCATCGAGCTATGCTGAGTGGTGCTTTTTTACACCTTCAGAGCCACTCATACCAGCTTGGTCAATAGTTATAGGCCAGACAAACTCACTCTCCTGGCCTTCCAGGTTGGAGTGAGAGTGGCTCCTTACTCCATAAAACGGGCCCTCTGTAGTCCAGTGCCAAAACCCCGCTGACTTGTGACAAGGTTTTTGAACCAAACGCTTTGGTTGAGAACCCTAATCCTTCTCCTGTCTAGGCTTTGGCAACCTGACAGTATCCTGTCCACGCAATACACCACGAATTTTCCTTCTAACAATCTCTTGTTGCTCTGGCCGTCGCAGAGCATTATCAACGGTGTCCTATCTACTGCATCGAGCAGGGTGGATAGAGCTTTGGATGCTACTGCTCAGGCCTTCCTGTCTTCTTATACCCCTTCTTGCGCTTCTTCATCATTATCGTCCCACTCCAACTTTACTAATATCCCCCCATTTTCAATCCCCCAATTCTTTGCCCTCCCCCAGCTTACTTCAATAGTCGCTTGTCTTCTAGTTTCAACTCACACACAGCCGCAGGGTATCGCTCCAATCCAGTCGACAAGTCCATGTTCAACCAAGCGGACAACGTCACTTCATCCGTTTTTCTTTGGAGCCCTCGATCCTCGCTAAGATTGGTATTCCTGAGCCTACCCACTCTGCTATAGATTGGCCAACATACAGCACTAGCTTCCACACTAGAGGCCCTATCGATCGATATTTGCCGTTTATCAGAAACCCGCCTGCGAGATTCGAGCTCCGTGGTTACCCTGCGATCCCCCACATGCGACTGGCGGCACATTCTCATTGCGCCTGTCTGGCGATGATGCAGTTTCAAATGCCGGTCAGCCTGACGTCGGCATTGTTCTGTGTCCCCGGACTGAAGCTGCCCTGATCGATTGGATCCTAGTCAACAGTCGGATATGCGCCGTTAGTCCAGCTGCTTCGTTCTATACTACGAAGTTGTGCGGCAACAAACGGTGCCTGTTTGTGATGCGGCCCATGCCCCTACAAACCGTAGCACTGATTCAGTGGAAAATGATTTCTATCAGCAACTTCACGATCTCCTACGTTACAGAAGAAGCGCGGATACTGTGGTGTTGGCTGGCGCTCTAAACACCTAAGTCGGAAAATTGTCTTCTGATGAGCTTCATCTGGACGGCCAAGCTGGTGTAGGCTCTCGTAAGGATAACGGTGAGCGATTGCTACAGCTGTGTGAAGATGCTCGTTTCTTTCTCGCGAGCACAAACTTTCGGCACAGCAACCGCAGAAGCGTGACTTGGCGCCCACCAGCCATGGACGCAAATTGATCATATCGCGATTAGTTACCGCTGGAGTGGTTGTGTCCAGTACTGTCGCTCGATTTGGAGCACGAGCGTGGACTCTGACCACGCATTTGTCTGCGCGGACCTCCGGGTGCGTTTCGGTGGACGTCCGCAACATCGATATGAACGGATTGACACCAGTCAGCTGGCCAAATCAGGTGCTCTTTATGTGTATCAATGTGCGCAGACATCCGGGCTTAGTAAGCGCCCACTGAACACCGTCGAAGATCACTGATCGCATATTCGCCAAACGTTACTGTTAGCAGGCATGTCTTCATGTGGCAAAGCAAATTGCCAAACTGGACATTGGGTCTCTAAAAAGTCGCTGGAACTTATGGATGCTAGCTGATGTATTCCGGCTGGAAGCGAATACAGTGAGACTCGTAAAAATCTCATTGCAAAACTGCATGCTAGCCTGAAGAGAGACCGCGAAGCGTGGTGGTCTCATCCTGCCTCGGAGATGAAAACAGCCGCTACCACCGTTGGCAATCATCGTAAGTTATTCCGTCTGATACGGGAAACAAGCAGCAGGCGACCTGGTGTTAACGAGACTATACGCGACGAGATTGGGTAGCTGATACACACCCTGTTAAAACGCTTGGAGCGTTGGGCCGAACACTTTGCAAGGCAATTTAACCAACCTGAATTATCGCTTTCTTTTTCCGGCATTGAGAGCCCTTCTCCCTGGGCCGTCTCCTTGGATCCGCCCTCACGCGCAAAAGTCGAACGTGAGATCAGGCTGTTGAAATTGCGTAAGGCCGCAGGCACACATATAATTCCCCCACCCTTTGCAGCCTCGAGAACCTGCTCTAGTAGATGATTCGCACGAGTTGCTAGTGTAACTTTGGGAGCGGGAGACTGTCCCGACGGAATGGAGCCACTCCGTCATAGTCCCAATTTTCAAAAGTGGCTCCCGTTTTGAATACGGCAATCATAAATGGATCAGTCTGATCACAATTGCTTCTAAATTGGTTAGTTGCGTTCTCCACTGACTGACCTGCACTCGTTAAAGCCAGATCCGGGAAGAGCAAGCCGGGTTTCGTCGAGATCGGAGCTTCAACGACCAAATCTTCACTTTGCATTAATTATCGGAGAACCGTCACATTTATTGGCGGCCCACTGCAATCATGTTTCTCGACATCAAATGTGCCTTCGATTCAGTGAATCGATGTGCCCTTTAGGACTCTACTGAGAAAAGGTCTGCCTGATAAATATGTAAACATTATCAAAACGCTGTATGCGCGTAGTTCGGACAGAGTGAGGGTTTATGACAAACTGTTGCCAGCCTTCAGTATCACCAGCTGTGTGAGACAAGGTTGTCCACTATCACCTTTCTTATTTAACTTCGTAGTTAAAGAAGCCATGGAAACAGCATTCACTGGACACGACCTAAAAGGTGTGAAGCTACTTCCTGGTGGGCGACTTCTTGTCTTGGAATTTCCAAACGATATTGCCCTATTCTGTCACAGCTACTAAACATGCCAAGCAGCACTGGACCGGTTAACACTGGCTGTCAATCGTTTTGGGCTATGCTTCGCTCCATAAAAATGCAAAGTACTTCTTCAAGGTTGGTAGTGACCCACTCCCGCGCTGACCCTTGGTGGTGATCAGCTAGACGTCGTTCAAGAAGTTAACTATCTGGGCAGCACTATTAGTGCCTGGGGGATCGAAGCTGAGATTACGAACCGTATAGCAAAAGCTCGAGGTGCTTTTGACAATCTCCGCCACCTGTGGCGCAGCCGCAACCACTTTCGCCCTGAAGGACAAAGTTTATAATGCAGCCGTCCATTCGACCCTTTTATACGGCTGTGAAACCTGACCCATCATGTCGACAGGCATAAAAAGGCTGGTCACGTTCGATCATCGCTGCCTCCGCAGCTTAGCTCCTGTCTGGTGGGAGCACCGCGTGAGCAATGAGCGTATTCGGTGCAGGAAGAGCTAGTGAACCGCTCAGCACTATTATATCACGCACCAGGCTCCAATGGTTTGGCCACGTGTTGCGCATGCCAGCACACCGACTCCACACAAAAACCACACGGACAACATTAGTAGTAGCAAGTCGATGATCTGTCAGTATTTCGCCACCACAATCCTCAATGCACCATTGGCTCTTCTGCAGCTAGTAACCCTCATTACTTTTTTCCGGTGTGGCAACTATCTCCAGAAACCTGCCTAATTTCTCTATTCCATTCGGGTAGCTGCATCAACTATTCGCTTTTATACCTCCATTTTCATTTGTCGCGGAGAATATCGCCACTATTCTGTCCGATTCAGCTTATTATCTCACCTGGTTTATTCAACTTTTTCTTACCCTCAGTTTTACGACATGAATTCCGAACTTTCGCGCATCACTATGCAAGCTTTTCTTGGATGTGCTCAAAAGATTCTCACCTTAATTCCGGAATCTTGGAGACCCCGTGTGAGCATTCAGTTATTGTCCTTGGAAGATGTCATGTCAAACTACTCATCCCGACTACGCTCGATGGCCTTGTCCATTTATTCTTCCGTCGCTCGGTACATTGAACCCAGTCTGCTCAATGCCAACCGAACTCTTACGGGGATCGGGCCTGCTTCAGAAAAGGAGATTATTTCCAACGAAAAAGAGGTAAATCAATTCACGGTCCGTTTGTAGTTATGCTCAAGCATCACTACTTCATCATTGCATATCTCCGCATCTTACCTCCATCGTGTTCGCATCCTTGATGGCGGCAAACGCGTTCATAGGACTAGTACGATCCGTTAATTCATTGAATTTAGCAGAATTGACTGTTCGCATATACAAGCCTCAATTCACGAGCCCAACCGTCTCCCGGTCGGAACACCGCAGGTGGTATTTGGTTGATTACCAATGAATGATTCGTTGAAGTTCAATCAACTTGAATATTTGTAAGACAACATTATACGGAGCAGAAATCTACATTTGAGAACAGGGCTGCTCATGTCGCAACGAAACAAGATTCTAGCGTGATTCGACAGTTCGTATACTTCTGTTCATTGAGCTGAAAACTGTGAGGTACGTTTGGGTACCTCGAGAAAACAAAAGCCTCAACAGTACGGAATCACCACCACCAACCGCGCGCGGGTTAGAGGTACTGCGAGGTTGTAAAGCAAACCCCTAGCCCCTTCTGCCACCAGATAAACCAGTCTCTTGAGATTGGGCAAATTCAGTCCAATAATCCTCCATTTTAGTGTTTGACGATTGGAAAGTACTCATGGTAATTTGACCAATCTTCTTTACCACTGCTGCATCCCCACTTGGCTTTTGTGCCAATGACTTTTGTTGACATCTCTGACCGTTCTCTAACCTTGGTCCAGGCGTCCCGGCACTGCTCCATCCCACGTATAACAGCCATGAGTTTCACTTCAAATGCAATCACACCCTACGTCCGCCATGGCTTGGTTTCAGAAAGATCGCCTGATTTGGTGCTGTTGTAGTTTTTATCATTGATTATTCAATGTTACTGTCTTACTTCGTACCCGTTGCTAGCGAAGCCGTTAACGTCACCTATAGGAACTGGATCATTTTTCTACCGGTTTGTAACTCCAAGCACCGCCATACACAAAAGGCATTTGGATGTGCGAATTTCTGGTGTTTGTTTTGTCACAAAATGCTTTCATGGTTCGTTACTTCTTTTAGGAGCCTTTCGCCCCTCTGTTGGTGATTCTTATGCTCGACTGCGATGCTCAGGGATAAAAATTCCTCAGGCTGAGCTTGATGTTTCACACACGATGCTTCTTCACCGCATTTGGGCTAAACCGACTCACACTCAAACTACATCTTTCTAATCTGGGTAAAAGTTATACCAGTTAACCATATTACACAATCTATGTCTGGATAAGTTTGGTTTTGTTTATTCACTTCTGTTACTCTGCTGTATATTCTGCCTCAACTTTACGTGCCTGCTTTTCTTCAAATTCGGTGTTGATTTTTTGATATCCCCGGTGTGGCTGCGCTTGATGTGAATATTGACAACGTGCACACCGGTCTAACACCCTCCACCTCGATCCCTGGCTCTAGGAGACTGAAGTGTTGCTAGTGAAGGGACGGGGTACACGGTCCTCGTGGCCGTACTAGGCTCAAAGAAGGGTTTCATTCAGTGTGGAGCGGACTACGGCTCAGCCACCGCATTGTGCACGTCTGGTACGCATGATACTCCACACAGATAGACGGCAATGCTGATGTTGAACGAGTGTGGGCCGGCTCCGTAGATGAAACGTGGCTCCCATCCGCATGTCTCCCGGTTTTATTCTTTCGGGTTTACACTAGATATAGTGTGTACAGATGGAGTTGTGGGTGATGCAACGCAAGCCACCCATGGTCCCTCTGCAGCCGCAGGCGTCCTGTGTCTCCCCCGCCGAGGTCGCAGTGTGTGTGTGTATGTAATGTTCTTGCAAAAAGTTTGTGTTTTGGGATTACAGGCAATCTGTATTCCACCACCACATCAGTAAGACAATCTCCGATCTTTGAGTTTGACCGGCTTCGGATGACTGGTCCTAAGCAGCACATGCAGCCTTGCATCCAGTCCATCATAACAGGTCGCATGGACGAGCATAACGCTTAGAAATCTCACTATATCATGGAAGAGTGGAAACCATTGTTTTCTGAGTAACATACTGAGGTTGCATTTGGACCTCATCACTGTCACGGAACTGCTGTGTATCCGTTGTTTTTAACAGTATTCACGTTGTCTACACTCTGTCAGCGCTCATCCGTTTGCAACCGCGGACATCTTGCCACTGTGATTGGATCCGTTCATGCTTCTACCTATGCTACGGGTGCATCGTGTAACTGTAACTGTGTTTATGCTTTTTATTTCAGGTGTTTCACAAACGCTGTGTCAATGCCCCGCCATACACTCTTGTCGCATCTCATGATTGTTCCAGCAAGTGGGACGCACCTCCCTCCGATTCCCTCTATCGGTCTTCCGTCCTTTTTGTCGCTTACTGCTTGTCCGAAGATCAGCAATGGCTTTTGGCAAGCTTTACCGATGAACAAGGTAGTCTCATTGATCAAGCCTTGATAAACATACGCGTTCCCTCTGCTTTCTTCACTGACCTCGATGCGAAACGGACCCGCAGTTCAACCGACACCTCCGGAACCCCTGTGCGACGTTTTATCAGTCCGCGGCGTATTGGCTTGACTCGCCTGTGGGATTACATCATCAGCCTCATAAGTGGAACTGCGAATCCTTGGCGTTTAGTGATTGGTCGCATTGGACGTTTAGGGCACGGAGAACTCAAAGGTTAGTTCTTTAGCTTTTCTTTCACGATACTTTTACATCATTGCAACCGCCGAACTCAAGCTTTTCTCTGAAACTCGGGAGGATTGGTTTAAAGGGCATGTGGTGAGCCTGTAACTATCCACACTATTCACGTTATCTCCCTCGCATGGGTGCCGACTGCATTCAGTGGTGTTTATATTCAACACTGTCTCGTTGCATGAAATCTCCTCGTGGCTCATGGCAGTATGGCTAAGATATGTATAAAATGACTGCGTCTAGTCAATGCGTTCCATTCATTAATCAGGGGTTTGCCCGGTATGACAGCCTCATCGAATGACCCGGCGGTGCATCCAGTGCTACTGTATTGATTGGAGACTTAACTACCGCACCTTGTAGACGCTGACAGATTAACCCCATTTAACTGCCATCATCAACAGCAGTACGTGAGCGATTTGCACTGACGCTTCCTTGCCGTATCACTACGGGACGAAGAATTTTTTTAAGACACCTTAGCTAAAGGTGGAAAACATCTCAGCCATTGTACCACAACGGTTAAGAAAAGACTGCAACAGTTGCGTGCCAGCTAAGCGACCAGTGACAGCATCCTTCCGGAAAGCTACCAGCCGGTTGTTGTGCCGCAAAAGGAAGTATTCTAATAGGCATATGAATTTAGATCGTGCCTAAAGGGGAGGCTAAGCGGAAGGGGGAAGAACAAAAATACTCACAAACGGGAGGAATAAAAAGGGAACCTAACGTAGCACTTTGGTGCCCTAAGAAGACATTCAGGGTCAAAGCGCCTACACTTTGCCAACGACACCGTCATAAACATTTGGTTATCATGCAAGGATAACGCGACATCGGCGAGACAGCGGCTTTCGTGGCACCGCGTCATAATCAGTAATTACCCTCCGAATAACACAGCACCAAGCAAATTTTAAACAGGCAGTCCGGCAAGAAGACGATAACTGACACGCCGCTGGTTCCGACTGCTAGTCATGTCCTGTAATGTCTCGAGCCTCGCACAAAGGTCATATGGACTCCAGCCTGGAAGGCGGGACGGACCAACGGCACTCAAGTTGGTCGTCAGAGATTTCATTTCCCTCTGCTAAGGTAACTTTTGTCCACCTCGAGACTTGCGCCACTCTAACTCTGGCAAACAAAACAAGGCCGTCTTCGGTGGGCGATGACTGGGCATACGTAGTACGTGTCTAAAATAGCACAACTTATCCAATGCTATCTGTTCTTCTAAGGAACCAGCCTGATTGTCACTCCCTCGTACTCGCCTAAGCACATCATTGTTGTCGATCCGTCGATGCCATCCTACATCAGCAATGTTCCATAGACAGTGGTGCTGTCCCTTAGCTTTAAAGATCACTAGCCTGTCTTGTAATCCGATGGCGCGGGTTCGAGCCTACGTGGGGACTGCGTAACCCTCGCAGTGTCCGTAACCCACGTGCGACTAGTGGTGGTTGCACAGTAGCGAAGTGTCGGTGCTGCGTACCAGCGTACCACTGTCGCCTTTCTTTTCTTAGACAGTGATAGCCAAACTTTTGAAGACCCTTTGTTTCATCAAATCGAAGGGAATGAGTCTCGCTACCATAGAGGAAGACAGCCCTCACTGTGGCTTTGTATGCATGTCCTTTCAGACCGAGAGAGACATCCCTCTAAAGCCACAGATATTGCAGGTGTAAGAATGATGTTCTAGCTTTCGTAATACGTAGGCTAATCTCAACAGCCACACATAATTGCTGCTGTCGCAGCTGCCAAGCTAAGTAATTTGATTAACTACTTCGAGTTCCTCCTTATCTGGTGCCATTCGTTCATCAAGTGCTTGGTGGTCTTGTGACGACACTTTGCACTTTGGCGGTGCGATTCGCATACCAAGTGACGGGACCACTCTAGAGGTTATTGCGGGCTGACTGGGATACCCTAACATCGCTAGACAACAAGACAACATCGTCCGCATAATCAAGATCAGGAAGTTTTCCGTCTACGTCGTGAGAACCCGCAAGAGGACATTCTATAATGGAGTCCATGGTGAAGCTTAACACAAATTGGGTAGTCAGCGCGTCCGTGCTGTCTCTGATAGTTTCACTGACACCTGTTTTCCTGGGACCAGTGATGCGGATCACTTGGAAGAGCCTGCGACAATTTCCTGTTGTTCCCATCTCCTCCATTCTTTGAGTCCTACCACTCCACCAGACTTCCTTGTTAACACCTAGACTCTACTTTAGTTCGCGTCCTAGTTACGTTGTGCTCAGAGCCAGCCAGGAGTTTTTTTTCTGAATTTCAACAAGTTCACATACCTCTCAGATATCCAGTAACTGACGCGATGTTGATTGATAGTGCCGCAAGCAGGCTACCGCATCGTGTATGACAGTCCAATGTCAAGACGAGTAAGCGTAAGTTCGATACGCAGGGCGTGGGATTACTTTTAGTCACCTATGTAAATGTCACCGTAACCGCAGGTGAACTGATAAACTACGTGAGAGGCCGAACTACCCGACGAGATGCTCTGACGGTTATGAAGAACATGTCCTCGCGTGGTATGCCTGAGTCGCAACTGGGCTGTCTTGTAGGTGCGCGTTAGGGCGGACCGGAGCTTGCGTCCGATATCATTTGCCACATGGTTCCCCCTTGAACAGCAAGAACAGATAAACATCCTTTTTCTCAGCCGTCAGCACCGGTGTTTTCACACTGGGAGGTCTGCTGTGTACTTGAATAAACTTCTCAGGATACCTACTAGAAATTAAGGTCTTGCGTAGAATCGCTTCTTCGGCTTTTAACGTTTCAGAGCTGCAAATACGTCTAGCCGCGCTGCTGACCATCTTGAATTCGGTTCACCCTAATCTGTCGGTATCCCATGAAGTGTAACAACAGTTGCCTGACGTTTTTCGATATACTCATTAGGAGACGGGCTGAAGGTACATTGCAGCGCACTGTTCACCGCAAATCGATTTGGAGTGGACAATACCTCCATTTTTCAAGCTTCGCTCCCGATTGCGTACAAACGCGGCTTAGTTAAAACACTCTTCTACCGTCAGAGCATCACGTCAGGTAGTTCGGCCTCTCACGTAGTTTATCAGTTCACCTGCGGTTACGGTGACATTTACATAGGCAGAACAAACCGTCAGTTAGCTCAGAGGGTGGCTGAACAATTGCCAAAGTGGTTGGGACAAGTGATTACGCAACAAAATGGGACGGATTTGTGAATTAATCAGAGCCCAGCATCGTCCATCACCAAACACCTCATGGCAACCCGTCATCAGGTAAACCCTGAGACAGCGCTCAGTGTTATTACGTAACAAGAACCCGATAATGCTGGCAATTACCGAGGCGTTGTTAATTAAGGCCCATCAACCTGTGCTATGTGCACAGAAACTCTTGAGTCAATCAATTCGGTTTCCATGGTCTTGACTGTGACATTTTGATTGGCGTTGCTTATTTTTCCATGTATATAATCGTTTGTGTGTTTGCGACTAAAGAGAAAAATCGAAACGTTGACATGTCGCAACCTCTGTTTTCTCTCTGCCTTGACGAAATGGCTGAAGGGGACCCACTGTTTTACTTTGCATTAATTGTTTGTCATCAACTAAAACTGTCTGATTGCTAAATCCATAAGGTGGCTAATCAATCACATTTCAAATGTACAGAAAGGTTGAGGCAGATTCATTCGTTTCATACACCCGGATTGAGACATCGGTCTCGATCAAGGCGGTGCCTTGTCGCTCTGTCGGATGTGACACGGTCAATAGATCAATGGCGCCTTTGCATTCGTTCCCTACCTTATGACCTTTAGCTATTCCATTTGCCGCTTTTTCACATTTTCTGTACCGTTGAATCAGAATTATATGTATTAATATTTTTATCATAACAGCATATATTAGTGTCACTGGATCCACACCTCATTGCACTGATCACAGTTAATACACAGCTTAACAACTGTCAGCTGCTTTTTCGACCTTTTTACGGTTGTATGTTTTGCCACACATTTTTTATTTAACAATGCACATATTTAATCAAGCGGTTCCACCGCGTCTCTTTACCAATCTTCGCTATTATTACTTGGTTTTCACCTTATTTGCTATCTCGCTTTAAATGTCCGGCGTTCAATCCATCCCATATGTTAAATCATCTGTTGACCCTTCCTGCAGGTTGGAACGGCCTATTGGGAAGAAAAAGCTTGCAGGATGTGAACCGTTTTTTTCGCGAACGATGCTCGGTCTGCAATGCGTCCACTACGGTCCCTTCTCAGGCCCCCGGAATCAGTGGCGGCAACAAGACTACTTTGAATCTTTTCAACTGCTCTAGTGGAGCCAATAGCTGTACCCATGAATTACCAAGTCTGATCAGTGCTTGTCTTGTTTCCTTGGAACCTCAAAGCACCTTTCGCCTCTATCCAGGCATTGGTCTCTCCTCGGATGATATGGGCGGTGGTGGCGGGGGTTGTGGAGGCGTCGGTGGCTCCAACGCAGGTGGCGGTGGTGGTGGTGGCGCTGCGAACTCCAGTGTTGGCGGAATCGGCAGCTCACTCAGTGGTTCGTCCGTCTCTCCGTACACCATGCGAACAATGATGGCAGCTGATTATCCACTCTCAACTGATATGCCCAGCTCCACACACATTCTTGTATTCCCGACCAGTACATCCGCAAGCGGATTATCGGTAGGTATCCTGAGGTACATGCTTCTCTGATAATAACACTTGCTCTACTTGTCTTATATGCTCGTTCCCCAACTCATTTTGTCATAGTTTTCATCCTTTTATCCAATAGAATCGCTCTACTTATACCTGCATTTTCTTTCTTACTCTGTTTTCAGGAGCACGATGCCACCGCTCTGGATGATGTGATGATGGGAATGGGGTTTCTTGATTGGCTACGAACTAGTAATACTGAGTTAGGGGACTTAGACGCTCCGGGCAACGCAGCGGCTGCTATGTTCGATGCTTTTGACAACCCTTCTGGTTTAGAGTTCAACCTTGCCGGACTGGGTGCGGCTGTTGGTGCAGCTGGGGTACACGATCACAGCGGTACTGTGGATGCCAATGGGGCTTGTGCCAGTTTGGGCGATCCAGTTGATAATGTCCTTGCACATTCTGATTATGTTGCATCTCTGCGCTACCCTCGAGGACACGGGCGCCCGACCGATGTCAGTCTGCATGGTATCGACACCAGCGGCCTGGATCTCGGCGGAAGTATGTTCTCTGGTCTACCAAATAACCAAAGAAGTGATCGATTTACGGAACGGCTTCCGCAAACACCGTCAGGCTTTTTCAACACTATGCCTCATGAGTTAACTGACCGCCCCGTAAGTTCTCTTTGTTTTTACTTTTCCTTTGTCCTTTGTTTTCGTCCTGTCGGTCAAGTCAGTTGGTTCGACTTTCTCTATCTTCCGTCACCACGCAAGTCTTTTACTTTCGCACTCGGCTCTCTTCTAATGCCACAATATTAAGAGCAAGCATTGCCAAAGACGCTCCCACCTCGTATGTGGTTTCGGTCATCAGACTGACCGAGACTCAATTAAAATGTTAGCTGCTCCTCACTTTGAACTTACACCTCGCAATCCAAGCGCCACAATTACTAGCATAGAGTCATCATTTTCTATTTGTATCGCAGGACGAGGTCGCAAATCTGATGCAGCAGCCCCTGGCGATGGGTTACTACATTTCAACCGCCCCAACTGGTCCCCTCCCTTCTTGGTTCTGGGCCGCCTGTCCTCACTCTAGTCTTCAGTTTCCCGTTTGTCTGAAATCGGCATTGCATCTGCAAATGAGTCTTGTCGGTGTGGATGATGCTGCTGCTGCAGCTGTTGGAGCATCAGCCCCGCCTCCCAGCACCGGTCCGGGCGGCGTCCCTAACGTCACTTCCTCGGATCGCCCTAATCATCTACTTGATTCTACTAGTACATGTGATGTGCTGCGATATGTTCTGGAAGCCTACAATGCCTTATCTTGGCTTACTGTGAATCCAGTGACAAGTGATCGTCGTTCTTGCCTTCCTGTTCATATGCTCATTCTTTGTCAGTTGTATCAAGCTGTTGAGTCTTTCACCTAACATTTTTTCCCTCAACCATGTCAGATCTACTTCCGTTCCCAAATTTCTTCAGCTTCCATTGGCGTGCATCTCTTTGTGATGTGCGTGCTATTAAGAATTTCTGTTAATGCAAACTACGATAATGTACAGATAGATTGAATAACAATCCTCCTACTATTCAAAGGGCCGTCGTGAGATGGCAGTGCTACGGCAGCTGTACATAACACTCCTCTCTGTCCCTGTCCACTATCGTCCAAAAGTTCCCCTTAAAACATCGTCTATTCTTCAACCTGTACATCTTGCTCTTCAGTCAGTTCACGTGAATCGGGCAACCTCCGATTCAGCGCTCACTTTTCCTGTCGTTCACCCCATTGTTCTGTTGTTCCCTGATCTCTGTTCTTCTTCCGTCTTGTACATCAAAGCTCCATCTTGTCCCTATTTTGTAAATACCCTACTGAACAGCCTTTGCCTTTCCGATTTCCCGGGTCGGCGTTCATCGATATACAAGTCTAATCTGATTTCTTTGTACATAAGGTGGTCCCCCCGTATGTATGATAAGCATCTTTTCTACTGGTGTTTTTCATCACGATATCGTGAAATAATACTGAAGTGTTGCATCTTTCGTTGTTTTTCCCGCCTCTTAGACTTCTCCGATGTTGCATTCACTACACTGTAGACTAACTTTGATCTGCCAACACGCTGTTAACTAACTAAATTTTGAGGTTAGAAGTCAGTAGTATTTGTTGCACCTCATCTATCTTCTGCTCCTCCCATTGAAATTATTTAACTTAATGCGGATGCCAGAACCGTTTTCATGTAATTGCGATAACTTACTCGCCAGGATTTCTCTCCGCCGTTTACGATAAATCGTAAAATCGTTTTTCTCTAACTCCAATTTAGTGATCGACCTTGATCTGTGCACTAAAGTGCGACTGATCAAGCTACCTCAGCCCACTTCACCAAAGTGGCAGTGCTATTAATAGTCATGAGAAAAAGTATTGCAAATTCAGGAGGTTTGGGCAAAATGATACCGACGGTAGGATCCAGAACTAAAGGGACGTGTGCAAAAGTGCCATTTGCTTCGTGGACGCACCCCGACCTCTGGGAACCCGTCCAGAAGCCAACATACACACATCCTTCTTGTCTTGTCGGCTTGAGGATTCGTCACATCATTGACTGATCGCCTCGCATTTAAACAGCTAGACGCGCTATTTATGCGGAGTATACACTTTAGTAATCCAATCCGGCCAAAAGTAGGCTTAGACCGCTGGAGTTCAACAAGCGTTGCACTGCAACACCGGAAGTTTTGTTGCCCAACGCTATGCGATTCTCCTTGTAGGTGGCATTATTTTTCAGGCTTCGATTACGGTCAATATTTTGATGTTTTCAGCGCTCAATTGTCTTGCCTCGTTGCGCACTCTTTTCTTATGCGTATCTTCACCGCTCCATATGTGGTTGGAGGTTGACCCACAAACAGTCACCTCTTCGGTGGTTAGGTTGTCGGGGGCGACACAGCCACCTAGATAAATGAAGCGACCAACCACCTCGTTTGGTGGTTTCTGAGGCTGAGGATCTCGGTCCGTTCTGTAACTTTTTTAAGCGCTTTGAAGGTGTGAACCACACGCCAAAGCCTAAGGCTTTGTGCATCAACCCATTCAACAGCGATTGCATTGCAGCTTAACCTCGTCCGTGTACTCTAGGTTTGGTAGTCGGTTACCTACGTAAGAAAAACGTAAAAAGGACGGTCATTTACCACCGTTTTATACACAAAATTGGGTGTAAATGGAAAGTTCTGATAATCCTGCCGCATTACACTTGTTGTGCTGAACCCAGCGAAGAGGAACGCTCCCTCATGCACAACCGAAATGGGTGTGGCCAATTGAGTCCAATTTATTACTCAGGTTGAAGAAAACCATTATGCTTGGCTTTTTGTAAAGACCATGTTCGAACGCTTAGATGAGTCTAAATCTGTTATTGCACTATACCGAGACAGAGGTCAGATTGGTTTTGACTCTGGCGAGTATCAGATGGCCGCCACATCGTGCTCACAGGTAGTTTAGATAAAAACGATGCTTTTCACAAAGCATTATTCGACTCCCATCAACGGTTGACATGAAGATTGACACTCGCTAGCCGGACACTTCTTGTACCGGTCAAAGTAGTCAGAGCAGTTGCCACCGCACCTCAGCAGTGGCAGACATAGCTCGTCAGGACCAGGTGCATTGTTCCGGTTCAGTTTTTCCAGCTCGTATCGCCTCTCACCGAGTTGGTTGATAACTCGCATCTACGGTCCTAGGTACCGGTTGATGCTTTACCGCATTTTTTCTGAAACAATGCAGAATATGGTCTAAATCAGGAATGTCCATTAACATTTCAACCTTCCTTATCATGAAATAATAAATACAAGCCTAGACGTTTTTCCTACACGTGTAACTTGTTATTATCTTAATGATAGACTGAATATGGCCCGACATATTTTTACCTCACAAAATGTGGCCCTCATTGCAAAAAGTTTGGACACCCCTGGTCTGAACTTACTCGTTTCTCGTGGTGGCGTTTGTACCATTGTCTCTCACTTCGGAAGCATCTGTGATGCCCCTGCTGTAGGCTGGCTGAGTTTGAAAAACTCAGCCACACGGCTCATTGCTAAGAACAGAGAAACCTGCATGCCTGTACACCAATGCACAAGGTCTACTGAGCAAGCTTACCGAACTGCGGCTACGTCATGCATCATATGCCTAGGGCCTCATATTCGTAACGGAAACTTGGCTGCATTCAGAAATCACCCACTCCGAAGTCGCGATAAATGGCATGTTTTGCATTCGAAACAATCGCACCTGTAATGGCGGTGGGGTAATTTTATACTATCGTAATGACCTGCAGTGTGAACCGGTGGAAGATCCGGAAACGCTGCTCAGAGACTCGCTCTGGTGCAGTCTGCGACTAAGACGCAATGACACCTGCCTTTCAGCAGTTGTTTATCGTCCCCCAATGTCCACCCCAGAGATGGACTCCCGCCTGACATTAGTATTGGGGAAAGTACTTCGACGACGATACAGCCATGTTCTCATCTCCGGCGACTTCAATGTTCACGATTTGGAAGTTCCGGCTTCTCCCAACGAACAATTCAAGGCAGACCTGCAAGAGCTTATTGCAAGCATTCCGCTCTTTAGCCATGTCAGTTCGCCCACCAGATTCAGAACGGGAAATAAGCCATCTGTGCTTGATTTAGTGCTCACGAACGAAGAGCTCATGATCGAGAAACCAAAGATGGAGAGCCCTCTGGGGCGAAGTGATCACGTAACAATACTTTACGACTATGTGTTATGCGGAATATCCACAAGAACATAGTGACTTGTTTCGAACAATCACACACTACGACACACTCACAGAACTTGTTGGGGATGCCATTTGGGATTTTTCGGACAATTGCTCCATTGATACTGCATGGACGGAGTTTGCTGGCAAGTTCAGCGATCTGATTAAATCCGCATCTGTAAACAGACCCATTCGTTCTATACGAACACCATCAAGTATTAGGATCAGAACCCGAAAACGCATGGCGCTCAGAGACGCAGTATGGCATGTGTATAGGGCGAATCCTAACCCTGCTAAATGAAGCCACCCTGTAGCCCTTCCTGATTACTGTGTCACATTTGTACGTGAGGATAAATTAGTACATCAACAGAGCTCACCTGAAGGTTTTTTGATAACAACAAGCTTCTGTACTGGTATGTTAATAGCCTTGGGAATATGGAGTGTGGCGTTAAACGATTCACCTCAGTAAATGGTTGCGCTCAAACTGCTGAGGATGTAGTCAAATTTCTATGGATGCAATAAGCTTCAATATTTCGATGCGCCACCAGCATATGTCACATATCTGTTCAATTTCGCTCGACGCCAATATTCACACATATCACTTGTAGTTCAGCGACCTTCTTGAGGAAGCTGATGTCTTTGCGCACCCACAGTTCCCCCAATGTTGACAACATTCTTCCAAAAACACTTCAGGTAGTAGCTATGAGAATAGCTGAGCAATTATCGCGATTTTTCCAAAATAACTGGATGAACAGCAGGTCCCCAACAGGTGGAAGCACGATACAAACACACTAATTTTCAAGGGTGACAACCGTTCGAAACGTGACGAATATGGCCGAGTTATTCTCCTCCGGCTTCTGTCAAAATTGATGGAGTCTATCATTGATGAGGTGCTAATGGGCTACTATGTAGGTCCAGAATCATTGCGCAAAGACAAGATGCAATCCGCCATCATCGGCTATGTACTAAAAAGCTGATTGCGGGTTGCAGTTGGACCGAAATAGCTGCCAGTTGGACCGGCCCCGGTGTCATCTACCTCGATTCTCTAAAGCCTTCGACAGCTTAGATCACCAAATATTTCTACAAAAGCTGCATACACACAGAATTGGTGACATGGTCTTTAGTTGGATAGGAAACTTCCCCCTTCAGCGGCGGCTTCAAGTTCGTGTTAGGGATTTGTTTTCTGCTCCTATCAACGTGGACTGCAGTATCCCACAGGGATCGGTGTAAGGGCCGTGCCTATTCCTGTTCTTCATCAAGGATTTCGCGCGTGTCATCGAGTCGAATTTCCTGCTTTTTGCCGGTGACATCAAGATATGGCGAGCGATCGGTTGTCAGGACGATCACGAATACTGCAAAGAATTAGACCGTGCTTTGGAATGGTCAAAGGCAAATCTGCTTCGTTAACGTATATAAGTGCAAAATTGTACATGGACGCCACAATTCCACTTAGCATATAAGTTTGGAGACCACATGTTGAAGACCGCCCCAAGAGCGGATGGGTGGTGGTGCAAGACGACCTCGGCTGTTTAGCGCAATCCTTGAAGGCGTCCAAAACCGCCAACCTGCACGTTGGTCTCTTTCGGAGGACGTTCGGGCGGTTCGACCCCTCCATCTTCCCAAATGCTCAATGCTATGTGAGGCCCCAGATAGAGTACGCGTTGCAGACCTGGCAACCCTGGTTAAAACGCGCACTGGTTGCACTTGAGAGCCTAAGCGAAGAGCAACCAAAAACGTGAAAGGAATGCTCCACCTTCCATAGTATCTGCGACTTAAAACTCTAGGAGTGTACAGCGGAAGTTATCGCTGTCTACGCGGCGACCTCATTCTGATGTACCAGATCTTGAAAGACCCCGATCAGACTTGACGCCACCTCCTGAAGCTTAGCTGCAACACGAAATCAATGGGTCACCAGCTGAAACTGGCTAGGCATTACAGTCGGCTGGAATGCCGCCGGAACTATTTTGCACTTGGAATGTTTCACCCCTAGAATGCTCTTCCGACTTTCTTCAGTTCTGCGCCCACGCTGCCAGTTTTAAAAAAGACGACGCGACGAAGTATTACAACACCTGATTATTTGATCTGCTTTCTGTTCGCTTAGTGACAACAGGACACAGACAAACATTGTGCTCTTCAGCCCTCACGAAAGCTGTGTAAACGGATACTCATGTGTGTGTAAACGGATCCATGTGTGTGTTATCGAACCCAACTTGACTTACAGTGGATTTAAAGTCACGAATACCGCAGTGAGTCCCCAAGTATGAACCTAACTTTGCTAAAAATGTTTTCCCATACTTTGAATTTTCAATAAGATCACCCTGCGAGACCTGTTAAGCTAATCTTTTTTTCTTATCCATATAAAACCATTTCACCTTTGTTCCACTGGAGTTG